CTTACAATCGCGGCCACATAGAGTCTGCATCTTTATCCTTATTCGTTTCAGATGACGTCCCGGCTGACGTGGTAGTTTTACAATCGGTAGGGGGCGCTACAAACTGTGCGAGGGTCCGTCTGCACGGAGATGCCGACTTCCTACCCTCCCTCGTGACGATCTACAACACGACGACCTGGGAATTCACCAGAACAGACCACACCAGTAGCGGCAGACCTATCTACGTTAGTGACACAGACAGTCGATTCTTTCTCGACTTCAACGAATACGAGCTAATGTGGTTGGTAAGACGCACGACCGGCTTAAGCAGAGACTCCGCTTTTGTCCGGAACTGCGCCATGACACCTGACCAGATCAGGTCACCGTGGGAACTGTGGGACGGAAGCCAGTTGCATGTCGTCTGGTCAGTTACTGCCAGCTGTGTTGGTACGTGTCGTATATCATACATTCGCCATTGAGGTTATGTTTTCGGTAGCGTTTGTCTGTGCGTGAGCGCGCGCGCGCGTGTGTGTATGTGCATGTATGTGTGTGCGTGTGTGTATGTATGTATGTATGTATGTATCTGTGTGTGTGTGTGTGTGTATGTGTGAGTGCGTGTGTGAGTTTGTGTGCGTGTGTGTACATGTATGTGTGTGTGTGTTTGTGTGTGTATGTATGTGTGTGTTTGGTGTTTTTGTCATTATTTTTGTGTGCGTATGTGTGTATGTATGTGTGTGTGTGTGTGTGTGTGTGTGTGTGTATGTGTGTTTGTGTTTGTGTGTGTATGTGTGTGTGTCTGGTGCTTTTTGTCATCTTCATCAAAATCTAATCTACATTCCAACTACTTGAACAAAAAACTTGACATAAGCTGGTGATACCAAGTTTTCTTACTTCTTCAGACGAACAGGTTTACCTGACCACACATGACACCTGGGCCTTTTATAAGGTTCGTGTGAACGGAGCGATGACCAATCACAACGTGAAAGAGACCTGTACTGCTGCGGGGATGGACTATCCGTGCTACCGGTCAGGTACTGCTGGGTGTACCCACAACTGGACCTCAGGCTGCATCACGTATGTCGGTACCGGTAGTGGCCCCTGTTACACCCCCTATGTCCTCTCCACTAAACTGTGTGGAACCTGGAACCCTGCGCAGTGCCAGCCTCTTGATGACACCTTTGTGTACATCCCTGGCTGGCTGAGTGATGACAGCGCCTACGGAGTGGACTACGACACTCACAACTACGGCCTGCATGGAGCGTCCTACAACAACATGTACGTCCTGTGTGCAGGTGAGGATACAGCCTCGATATCGTTATTACACAAGGCAGATAAATTCATGCATTTTCCTCTAACTTTCTTGGCAACTATAACATGTACATGTAGTAGCAAAACACATATATTGAAAAGGACTTCTAATACTAGATGTAGAACAAGGCTCTAAAAGCAAGATATTGTTGATTATCCCTTTCAAATGCTTTAACCTGAATGTAATGACAATGGCATAAATATAAATCGGACTTGGATTTATGTTTATACGATTTCTGTACCTTTGTTTATGTTCATGTTTATGTTTTGGTGTCTTATAAGCCCATATGGACAAAAGTCGCAAGACACGTAAATGAACATTCATTAATTCATTTATATAATGCACATGATATAACAAATGTAAATTTCCGCAGCCTTCATGATGCATTGCCACATCTGTAACATGCCAGGTCAGTAAAGTAAATCTGAATCATCTGAACCTCCCATTTCCAGTCGCTACTACATGTGCCGCCTCCCCATGTGCACACGGAACCTGTACTGGTGGTAACCAAGGCTACACCTGTACCTGTGAGAGCGGCTGGACTGGACGCAACTGTGACCAAGGTTAGTATTCAATTGCTTCATTATAAAAAAAGAGAAAACAATACATTTTAGAAGAGATATGTTTCTTGCATAATCATTTCATTAACCTTAAGTATCCTGTTCAGTTACTGACATTTAAGAGAAGATACTAGTGGGGCGAACGTGGGGCGAACGTTGGATACAGGCGGCCAATGGATACAGGACTGGCCAATATAAAGTCCCCTTGCCCCACCGAATCTGCTTGGAGATTAGACTAAGTCCTACGGAATATCATTCAGTCTATTTGGCCAATTACATCTACCAATAGGCTAGGGCTCTAGTAGGAACTAACAAATCCGTTATAACACTGAATGATAACCTAGGTCTGCACTTTTTTCCAGACATCAATGAGTGCTTGTCCTCCCCATGTGCACACGGAACCTGTACTGACCGCGTGGCGAGTTACACCTGTAGCTGTGAGAACGGCTGGACAGGGAACAACTGTGATCAAGGTCAGTATTTGATTGTTTCATTTACATTAAATTGCCCTGTTCTTTTACTAACATTCAAACGAAGTTATTTCAAACTGTCATTGTGGTTGCACCATCAGATAAGAAGGAAAAAATAAAGTTGTATAACAGTCTTAACAGTTGTATAAAACTTTATTTATAATGCTTCTACTTTTCATCAGACATCGATGAGTGCTTGTCCTCTCCATGTGCACACGGAACCTGTACTGACGGCGTAGCGAGTTACACCTGTAGCTGTGAGAGTGGCTGGACAGGGAACAACAACTGTGATCAAGGTCAGTACTAGTTTTAGAATAAACTACGCTAGCTAGGAGATTAACAATAGAAATCATAACATCAAAAGTTGTACGCCAGGTGGCCATATGAAAAGTATTACTGAAAACATTGAATGAGTGTATATAAAAATGTAGCCTCTATGATTTTACCCTCCAACTAGAGTCCTTGTTTATGTTTCAGACATTGACGAGTGCGCGAGCAATCCTTGTCAGCTGGGAGGAACCTGCCTGGATCACGTGAACGGCTACAGCTGTGTCTGTCCTAAAGAAACCACCGGGAAGCACTGTGAAACTGGTAAGGCCCTTTTGAACAATTCTAGAGGAAAACGATATACAGTTTTTTTTCTCTCCAATGCAATACGGTGGGAGCTTTTTTCCAAGAGACCTTTTTGTCTTAGGAACCAGTTCATCTGGGATTGTTGTTGAATCTTTAAAACTACAGCATTTATCAATTTAAGCTATTTTCATTACTTCTTAGCGTACTTATATTCACTTGATTCCGACAAATCGTATCGTACTTGGCCCAACATTTTCTGTAATTTGGCGAAAAGATTTTTTTCAAGTACATTGTACTATTTCTGTACTGTAGCATCTTTTGCCGGAGATTGCTACCAGTTCTCGACCTCAGCTGCCACCCATCGGGACGCCACCCAGGCCTGCAGTGCCAACAGCGGCCGCATGGTGGACCTGAGAGACCCGCAGCAGCAACAGTTCCTGGCGAACACCATCGCGGCCTCCACCGGCGTCTCCAACTGGCTCGCCATGAAAACCGCGCCGCTGCCGATTCTCTACAGCGATGGATCGCCTGTTCAAGGTACATACAGACGTGACTAGTTTCAAACTCATCCTCTGGATACAATGAACAAAATTGAATGAGACTGAAGTAATCACCGTTTTTATACGTATTGATCAATAGCATTAAACAGCTTTACGGCCTCCACTGACATTTCAAACAGGCTGGCCACTAAAATCACACCATCTAAAATATGTATATTATTGTGTTTAAAAGTAGCTTTAATATTTAGCTGTTTCTAGTTAGTTTATTTTTTTATCAAATCACCACCCAGCTCCCCTGCAGTGGTTGCCAGGCGAACCTTCGTCTCCGCTGGACCTGTGTGTTCTCCTGGACAGCTCCAACAACTACCAGGCAAAGACTGTTTTCTGCACGGAGCAGCACAACTACGTCTGCATGTCCGGTACGGAACATGTCTTGATTCACACATTTCTTTCTCTCATTCAGTATTTAAAACATACAACTTTTCCAAAAGTCCGGTCACCTGAGAAGCCGCACCCTAAAGATCATCCCAGAAAAAATACGATAAAGTTTTAAGGACGACATTTTGATATACCGGTAAATGAGGAGGTCACTAAGGCCAACTGAAAATCGTGTCCTGAAAAGACATTCGGAAGAGTATCAGTATTGGTGTTCACGAATTAATGGTTGATTGACTGATTCAGCCATAAGCAGAAGCCATATTTGTCATGTTTTTTCTCCACTTGCAGACATCAAACCATGTGAGCCAAACGTGTGTCAGAACGGCGGAAACTGCACCTCCTGCTTCGGAGAGTCTACCAACTTCTGTGACTGTCTGGACGGGTTCGAGGGACTCCTATGTGAAACCGGTAAGGAAGTATTCTACAATAAAGCATCTCCCGGCAATCGTACAGACTTCTGACATCTTAATGTCGTTCCATGGCTGGCTCTTACAATATGCACAATCACTTGACACTTCTGGCTGTTAAACGATAAACAGAAGGAACAAAGAAAGAAAAAATCAATGTAAAATAGCCGGAAGCATTTACCCATGTGGCCATATAGATGTGTGGAAATTATGCTATACCCAAGACTGTCTACTATTGTTATTCTATGATCCTACTGCCTCTAGCCTCTACTAACTAATTCTACAATAAACAAGACAGGTTATATTTCCATCAACTCAAGGATGTGCCAAAATGGTGTCAGAAGTGGGATTCACACTAATTTCAAAGCCCTGATTTTTTTTACTCACAACTTCCGTAACCTTTTCTGTTGTTGAACAGACACTGACGAGTGCGCGTCCAACCCTTGTCAGCATGGCGGAACCTGCCAGGATCAAGTCAACTCTTACAGCTGCCGATGCCCAACCGGGTACAACGGAGACAACTGTCAAGTCGGTAAATATTGGGTCGTTTTTGTGTTCTTAGCCTACATGTATAGACTTTTTGTTTTTTTGCACATAACATTAAGAGCTCATGGAATACACTTTTTTCAGCACAAGAAAGAAGACCTCAAGTCCTTAGTTGTCCTGAAGAACACTTGGGGAAAAGTCGACGAGTCGCCATTTTTATGTTGTAATGAAATTCAGTCCTTATTTTCCTTCCTCAGAAATTGACTGGTGTTCTATGGTGACTTGTCCGTTCGACTGGACCTGCCAGAATCTGATCACCCACTTCAGCTGCCTGGGTAAGAACAACATTAAGATACATACAGCACTGTACAGTTCTATTGATGAAATAGGTCAGCTGTAAGAACATCATTGCTTTCTCTCTCTCCTTCTCTCTCCTTCTCTCTCCTTCTCTCTCTCTGTCTCTGTCTCTCTCTCTCTCTGTGTGTCTCTGTCTCTGTGTGTGTGTGTGTCTCTCTCTCTGTCTCTCTCTCTCCCTGTCTCTCTCTGTCTCTGTCTGTCTGTCTCTCTCTCTTTGTATATATATATATATATATATATATATATATATATATATATATATATATTTGATCGGTATATATTTTGGTCGGTATATATACAATTGATCGGTCTTAAATGTTCCAGCAAAGAAACCCAATTTGTTTTCGACAAGCACAAGAAAATGTGTCGCTTTGAAATTCTATGCACTCCCATTGCAGAAGCATTTAAGATGGTAAGGCGCTAGGCTAGCTGTGTGATTAGAACCGAGGCTACTTTAGTTGCCTAGTCAAAGCTTGTAGTTAAAGTAAACTTTATTCATAGACGTCATGTAGGGTGATCGAGATATGTTCCTGCCTTGTTCCAGCCCCGACCGTTCGCCTGGTGGAGCCCTACCAGTGCAGCAGCGCCTCCTGTCCGGACGGCATGTACTGCACCCAGGAGGGCGTGGCAGCCTTCTCCTGCAGGCCTGATGAGTGACGTCATGACCGAACCCTCCCACGTGACGACCAGCAGCCAATGGCTGCCTACATTCGTGCCTTGAAAGTTTTCTGAGTTTTGTTTTTGGTCTGATCTAGAGTCTAACTAGAGTTCCACGATCTCATACCTTCGCCAAATGATGTTAACCTTTATTATGACTGATAGATTAAAGATTATTCCCCATGATTATACAAATAAGATTATTTGCATGAATTACATCAGTTTAACATATTCTCCACCCAATTATCTTAACAAAGAAGGCCATTCCATAATTTCCTCATAAATTCTGCAAATGAGACCCAAATTTGAATAAGACATGTTTAATGATGTTCACCCTCGCTTAACTTTTAATGCCCCAAATATAAAGTATGAAACCAATCCATCCAGCTGTTCTTGAGTTATTTTGTTGATCAACAGACATAATGAAGAATGACAAACGTAAGTGAAAATATAACCTTCCTGGCGAAGGTAACTAGAGAGAGTGGATATTAGATTCAATAAAATGCGGCAAAAATCATATTCTATAGTTTCTGTCCATTTTTGACTCGCTCTTTTAATACAATAGTGCTGAGTTCCTTCTAAGTTAAGAAAATTCTTCCCTGTGACGAAAAAAACCCCAACTTTTCAGTCAATCATTATGTTATTCCGATTCACCTTTCAATTATTGTTAACAACACCAAAATGCAGGGTGTACCTTTGAATTAATCTCCAAACCGATCTTTCGGTGGCCGTCAGACAATATCAAATTGGCCAGGAAGTTACCACTAGCCAGACTGTATCCATTCGGTGGCAAATGAATACTGTATGGCTATTGGTAATTGCCTGGCCAATTTACACTGTATGCCGATGGTATACGAGCCTTAATACGTGCATTTAAGTTCCAAAAGAACACAGCGAAAACTCATTTGGAAACACCATCCATTTATTTGATGAATTAATTATAAAGTCAGTAAAATTATGATTAGCATAAATGTTACATCATATGATTCTGTTTACCGTCCATATATCGATACCAGTGTTGAATCCCACATTCCCTTCAATGATAATAATCCCGGTTGGAATTTTTTTTTTCTTATGTACAAATTGTCTTTGGCTTGCCTGTATGCTTATGCTTGGGCATATGTCATGTGGGCTTCTATATTTAATATTTATGAAAATATTTACAAAAAATAGAAATATGAAATTGCTATATACATGGTGATTTCTCCATTTAGATTTCTTTAGAATCGATATCGATTGTCTAGAATATCGATCTATTTATTGGATCGATAAAAATGTATTAGCAGTTGGCAGTGTTTCTTTTTCCATGCGGTAGGCAGACAATGTACAGCTCAATTTGAAGCTGTCATCATTTGAATTTGTTTATGTACAATATTTCATTTTACAGTATAAAGCATTAATACAATGTATCATGATGCACAAAATGCATCTGAATATGTGCTAAAGATTTAAGCTTAGCTTTTCTGGGTTTCATGCCATCATTGATTGCACTGATTCCGGATAAATGATCATGATAAAATTAATATCGACATATTATCGTCGGTTTTCTGGTTATAACCAGTACAGAAAGACGTAAAGTATTCTGTTAAACCAGGCAACAAACATTAAGATTCTTCTTCACAGTGGTCACCTGTCAACTGTGGCCATTCTCTTTGGTGCCTCAAGTGGTCTCCAAAGGCAGTTTTAACTGTATAGTAGCCTCTACGTATACAAGGCTTCAGAGGCGGCAGGAAAAAGTGGAAATTAACCAAATAGACGGATCACATGCCAAGGGAGTGCAATTTGCTGCTCCACGTGGCCAATTTTTACTGTTTCCAGTCGACTCTGAAGCCTGGTAGAGGCTAACTGTATGTGGTCACGGATTGTCGTTGCTCTAAAATCTTTTGATTTTCTTCTAAGGCAAATATTGGAAATATTTCTTTGTTTTTCCTCGTCTTTTACCGCGAGACTAAGAACGCCCCAAAATACGTGACATCTTCGTTCGGGTTCACCTTGTCCAAGTCGGACACCGTCACATACAGGTGGTCCCTCGCCTGGAGCCTGAACACCCCTTCAACGTAAAATGTTTTCGCCCACGGCCCACCTTCCAGCACGGTGCGGACTGTACCACCTCCCGTCATGATGCGGTAGGCGGGGGGTGACCTGGGCAGCTGGTACACCGTGAAGGACATGTGCGGGGAGCCCGTGTCTGTAGCTCCCTCTGGCGGAAAATGTCTGAATTGTATCTAAAATGGATGAATAATTAAAGTTCATACATTGCACCTGCAAGGACTTAGTTAGGATCTATGCCCTAAAGAATTGCTGCAGTGAATAATTAAAAAAAGGCGAAAAATGAGTAAACACGCTCTAAAATACCAATTAACATTTTCAAAAATTCATTTTTTTTAAAAGCGTACAGCTGTTCTATCATTATCTTTTAAAGTTTTAGGCGTTCTTAGTCAGAACAAAGTTTGGTAAGTGCATACCGACATAGAAGTGAACAACTAATACGGTGTCGGTGCGCCATCTAGCGGATTGTGTGTGAAGCGTACCTGGCAGTAGATATTGTAGTAGCCTGTAAGCGGCACCACCAGGCTACCCTCCTCTCGGCTGTACTGCATGCCGTGCGCAAGGTACGAAGCTCCGCCTCCGCCAGACTGCCAGTCCACTATCCGGCTCGGACCTGCTGAAAACAAAGAGAATTCAGAACCTCCCACTTTCTTTCATTTATGTAAGCAAGTAAGTGTAGATAATCAAGCCCGCGTCGTCAAAGAAAGACTATTATCAAAAGACAGCTACTCTCCTTTTAACATCACAAAACCCACACATAATATTATACAAAACGTGGGGTCCTTCGTCTAAAGAAGTCAAACCCAATAAGTTAGAATTAAGTGTTTAGTAGTAAGATTAAGAGTAGTCACATACTATATTGATATTCCTTGTCCATCCTTCATTTTTATGTTGCATGTAACAGTTTCTTTACCTGTGATTAGCCTACGAGCAAGAACTTACAATGAACTTTCTATTATTTGTACTAATAGACAATTTAATTTACCCGACGCTGCCTGCAGTCCCGTTCTGCCCGCTAGGAGCGCCACTGGCAGGTGGAAGCTGGTGTTCCTCTCGATGACGTCACCGACAGCTGGCAGGTGCCATGGCAAACAGTCTGGACAAAATGGCGGGAAATATGAAATTACAGAACTGATGTTTGAATGTGACATTATTCCAAGAAATAAGATGATATACAAGATGACCAGTCCCTCCAACACTGTCCTGCCACTTGCTACATAATGTCATCCAACACCACAGGGTGCCTGCTACAGCACCAGTCACTATGGCGACAATCGTATGGGCAATATCTTTGACCTTATTTGTTTATTTGTTAGGAAAAGGAGACGGAACGAAGCACAACATTCGTTTTCCTTTTGCGAAGGTGAGCATAATGAATAAAAACGAATAAAAAAGAGCATACCTCTGCTGGTGCACGGTTTGGACTCCCCCGTCCCGTCAGGTGAGACCGTCTGAAAACACAGGTAGGTGAATGGAAAGTGAAAACAAACTAAAACAGTAGCATATCGATTTAGAAGGCGTCAAGCCTCGGCCTCATACTTGTGACACAGAAGCGAGATTACCGGTCCAAGAGGTGCGTGTTGTTTCTATTGACCACCGCGTCAGTTATTAAACATTTGGCCGAGTGTTATTTGTGCTAACGTTAACGGACACAAGATCCAGGGGTCAAGGGTTCGATTCCTGGCATTCCTGGGTAGACTAGACGTTGTGTCCCTGAAAAAGGCCACAACATCTAGCCTGGAAAATTGGTACCTGACTTCGGTTGGTGAGATAAAGGGCAGTGGAAGGAGGGGGATGGGCTCCACTTTCCCATACGCACTACACTGCCTCTAGCCTCCAGTGAAGGCTTCCGGGGGGTGGGGTGTCCTGATACTGCGTTTTATAGAGATTTTAACGCGTTTGTAACGCATTCACTTGCCGGCCATCCTACAACCAGTCGCCGAGAGAAGGTTTCCATCCGTGGCGGAATCAAAAGAACGCATGAAAATTCTACAAAACGCAGTATGTACCTGCCCGGAGGCCTGCACACGAGGCTACACTGCCTCTACGGCCTCAAAAAGGCTATGGGACTGCCTTTTAATACTGTGACCTTTTGTGTTTATGCACCAATGGCCATCTGTTTGTTGTCAGGCATTACAAAACACGTGTGATGTTTTTGCTATTTTTACAGATGATTAGACGACCGGTTATCTAGCAAATAGTCCGAAGTTCACATATTTTCGCAGGGACCAAGACAATGCGCGCGTGCTTTAACTTTCATTTTCGCCCAGGTAACCTAGTCTAATTCACAAGGCAGAACAAAGCTGTCGTCACCTTTTACTTTCATTCTCTGTTCGTGTGTGTGTTTGTGTGTCTGTGTCTGTGCGTGTGTGTGTGAGTGTGTGTGTGTGTGTGTGTGTGTGTGTGTGTGTGTGTGTGTGTGTGTGTGTCTGTGCGTGTGTGTGTGTGTGTCTGTGCGCGTGTGTGTGTGTGTGTGTCTGTGCGTGTGTGTGTTTGTGTGTCTGTGTCTGTGTGTGT